ATGAGAGATGTTGTTTCTTTCACGATGTATACCCTGCTATATACAAATCAAATAAAGAAATGATGTTTACCTACAAATATATATATATATATATATATATATATAATATATAAATATTTTTAAAATTTTTATATAAAATATGTAAGTTACATAAGTTACGTAAGTTAAATTTTAACATACGTCAGTAAAAATAACTTACGTAAGTTATACAACCCTACTTGGGATCAGTATCAGTCATGTGACAATATACACGGTGAATGAAATTAAGATATACAGTATATAATGGGCTGGTCGTTTTTTAAGGTAATAATAATTTTAGTCTCGGAAAATTTTGGCTCATCAAAAATAATTATCGCATCATAATCAAGTTTTATCGAAATATTTCAATGAAACATCGGTTCGATTCTTCCAAATTGCCAAAATATTCAACCAATGTATTGACAATAGGATCATTGGCAATAATATCTCGCTTGTTTACATGGATCATAGCATTTTTGTCAACATTAATAATAGACGATTACGATTCGGCTGTAGATACAATATTAATAGAACCAGAAACAGGGACTTTAATACAGAAAGTTTTTAACAAATTATTTCGAGTGTTTCTTAGATGGGATTCATTCTATTTTTTACATATAACCGAAGAGGGATATATTTTTGAGCAAGAACATGCATTTTTCCCGCTTTATCCCTTGTTGACTAGAGGACTGGGAAATTCATGTATGAACATAAGTTCGATTGATCATTAAAGTTAAAAAAAAATTTTTTTTTTTTCTAATTCATACTCTTAATTCGACAGTTTTACCAATTTTGGGTCATTCTCTAACTTACAAGCAAATACTAATATTCTCAGGAGTTTTGATTTCTAACGTTTCATTTGTACTGGCATCGATAAATTTATATAGGTAAGCGTTGCACTAGCGTTCAATGTTTTCAAATTCTTTCAAAACAACTAATATTTCTTTAACATTCGTCCTTTATGTGATGGTCCAAGACTTAGTCTCAGATTGTTTAATGATGAAAAATTTGCATTTATTACATCAATGTTCTACATAATAACACCATCATGTATGTTTATGTCTGCAATGTACACAGAAAGTTTGTTTGCATTTCTGAGTTTTCTTGGAATGAGATTATTTGCAGAGAAAAAGTACTGGAAGTCAGCAGTAGTATGGTTATTGGCTTCTTCTACAAGGTCGAATGGAATCGTTTATATAGGATTTTTTTTCTATGAACTGCTGATCCGAGAAATGGTAGAGATGAATTTTATGGTAATTTTTCTAAACTCGATTTATTTAATCATTATCAATGCTTCCATCTAAAGATGACACGAAAATCTTCTATTCGTTGTGTCAGCTGTTAATGAAGAGATTGATGAAGGCAACATTATTGTCTATAATTACCGCATCGGGCTTCTTCGCTTTTCAACTATATGGGTATGATGAATATTGTATTCTATTAGCACCAATAAGACCGTGGTGTTATTCAGAACTACCAATTTTATACCCTTTTGTACAGAAGCACTATTGGTGAGATAGTCCTGGTTCTTGTTGTTCATTTGTACTATATTGGATTTTGGATTTATATCCTTATCAATTTATTCAGGAATTGTGGATTTCTGAGGTATTATGAGGTCAAACAGATTCCAAACTTTTTACTTGCGTCTCCAATGATAGCGCTATCGTTGTTTGGAATATACAAATATGCTAATTACGACTATAAAAGAGTATTAAGTCTTGGGTTAACGCAAACTCGGTCTCTGAAATCAGGTATGTGGATTTATGCGTTTACTCGTGAGGAAACGCCCTTTGTTTCATTCTCCTTTTAAAAAATGTATTACACCTGATAATTTACAAATATAACAAATAATGTAGACACGGGGACATCACACATAATATCATCAAAAACTTCACTTAATGAAGAAAACATAAGATCTTCTCAATATCAGTCCACTTCGTCATATTTTTCAAATGTCATATTACCATTCATTTATCTTTGGACTGCACTACTTTTGTACGCAATAACATCAATGCATATCCAAGTGATCACCAGATTTTTTTCATCGCAACCAACAGTATATTGGTTCGCAAGCTACTTATTTATTAATTCTTTGGAAAAGGATGGTGATCGAAGCATTAATTATTCGTCCATGAAGGATTACCATCACGATAAAATTGGGAATGAAACACGTTTGAAGGAGGGATACAAACCAGATAATGGAGCGGTGAATATGGAGAATGACAGAATGTACCCGGACGAAGGACATGACAGAGAATGCTCGAATGAAGATTCTAAAATAAAGGATGAGAAAAAGGACAATGAGCGATTCGAATTAGGACATATTGTGATATCATATTTTATATTGTACGGGGTTAGCGGAATAATTTTATTTGCAGCGTTCTTTCCACCAGCTTAACTAGAAATATTTTTTATAACAAGTTTCATGATGCGTGTATAACACTATTGATTATATATTTGATAGGAAAATACTGTATATATCATATATTATATTGAATAAAGTGAATAAAAATTTTAAATTATAAAAATCAGAGACAACTTAAAGAAGAAATAATTTAAAAAATAATATTGCTAGCACCTTATCGATTAAGACATTCCTTATTTTACTTGATATTAGAAAAAAGCAAATGTTACCTACAAATAGAATAATAAAAATTGGAATAATTAAATAATTAATAAATACAATAATAACCATTCTTTTATATATCACAACAATATAATATTAAGTTTAAAAACAATAGCTTTATATTGAACTTGTTATTTAAAAAATAATAATTAAAAAAAGCTCTAATATCCAATTGAATTTTTTAAGATTGTTGTGTCATCAGCTTAATATTAATAAATATTATATTTAAAAAGACAAAATATTTTGTTAATAATTAAATTAATGGTGATTTTTTATTATTTTTAAAATTAGGATCATTTGAATTTGAAAATCATTTCGAAAATTAGAATATAATAAACTTACATTTTTAAAAAAATTATTTAAATTACAAAACGTCAAATTCTGTTTTGTTGAATATTTTGTGACTATAAATTAATCATTGTCTTAAGGTAAATAAACAATGAATTTTGGATATAAAATAAATAAGTATACTGTACATATAATAAGATAAATAAATAATTATATTTTAAGTGAATTTAATTTATTTATTGGATAATATAGTTGATTTTTATATATCTTTTCTTTACATACAGTATTTCTAATTTCCAAAGTTTCTTAAAGTTTTAATTATATATTACTCTGATTATATGATTGATTGTTTTTTTGTTTTTTATAATAACATTATTTGTTATAAATCAATTATTTACAGTGTATACAGCATTTACACAATAATTATTATTTGATATAATGTAATAAATAATTTTAAATTAATTTGACATATTTTTAAAAATCATAAATTTTGTTATATCATATTTTTTTTAATAAAAATCAATACTTATATATAAAATGCATAACTTGTTTTTTTTATTATTATTAAATATAATACTTTTCTGTTTAATAAATAGATTAGAAAATAACATTTAAAAAAATTATTTATAAAATTCAAAAATGTACTTGTAAATTATTTATTTATTTAATATTATTTCGTATATGATAAATTTTCGTAAACGTAATAACAAAGTCATAGGTCCACCAATATTTATAAATAGGCTGGTTTCTGGTTTATACAGTATGTACCTAACCATCGAAAAAAAAATTTTTTTTGAATCCAAAAGTGATGATAATTCAATTCATAAATGGTTTATGCTGCATATTTTAAATGTCTCATCAATCGCATAGACAAATTTGGAAAAATATACCATACGTGATTAAATGACAATTATAAATCTTAAATTTGTTATTATTAATCTTTCGTAGACGGAATGTCAAATAGATTTCTTACACATTATACAGTATAATGGTATTACAATGCAAGAGGGAATGAACCTTTTCTAGTTGGAATTTCGGTTTTGACATCGATGTCACCTTAGGACCAAGTTAATGCCGAGAGCTTAGAAAAAGGGACAGGTTTGGAAATAAGTTGTATCATCAAAATTATTTCTGAGACATTTGCGCGTTTTATATTATGATTTTCGAATTACGCGTTAGGTTATTATGCGTTTCACAATTATATTAACGATACGATCAGAATTTTAGGTTTGCTGCGTGAAACAAATTTGAAACAAAACATCTTATGAATTTCTATTAGCAATAAGTTGATGTATGCAGTTTCTTATTTTGGATAGTGCATTCATCTACTTTCGGAGAAACGAAAGCGTTAATTCTTCGGCAATGAAGAAAAATGTAAATGAAAATTGGTAACGTTCAATACCTGCGCCACATAATTTAATCATTCTTGTAGAGAAATATCCTGTGTTTCCTAATATCCTCGCCTCACTAGTCTTTTGACCATAATTAAATTTGAAACCAAGCAGGAGCTTTTTTTTTAATGCACAAGGCACATTCCATTATTCTATTCGCATGATGGATGATTTAGACCATGCATCAATCTGCGTTGGCCCATTTTGTTTAAGTATACACAACCTTGACGGTGCATTAAGTTTCCTCCGATTATTGTGAAGAGGATATAGATGATAATAAGTTGCACTTACATTTATGTAAGTTAATTTGGCCGTCAAACTCTTTGGTGAAACATCCGGAACAGAATCGTGCTCGAAGACAAAAACTAGTGCGAAATCGTCGATAAAAGAGTTTGTTATGAAAGAAAGGAAATGGATGCTGCGACCGACATGTCACTATCCAAGACCCTAGGTTAACTCGTGTTCGGGTCAATATTCTATTAATATAATTACTAAAGATATCAATAACTTTAATTGATGTTCTGCTATATTTATCGCAAATTCAATGACAATGATCGAAGCGAATTATACGGCGATAATATACATCTAGTGGAACGTCGCGCAAAGTCCTTTAAAAAAAAAACCAAAAAAAAAAAAATAGCAAAACTGTCGCATAAGAGATGAGTGATAAATCATAATAATTAATTAGTGATTTTAGTGATCAAAAATTATGTGGCCGGAATTTCTCTCATATTACATAGACAATCCGTTGCCAAAATACGATTCTGTGAATCTTCAAGCCATTGATACCAAGGTTTCTTCGCAGCACAACAATTGATCATATACGCCCAGTCCTCATTTGTGGTTAGCCACAAGGTAAACATCGTATTTTGTTTAAAAAAGGAATTCTAGTAGTACTAGGGACTATTAAATTATGCTATTTAAAAATCCGGGTCGACTATAACGGGGATTGAATTTACCAAATAAATTTATTTTTACGTGGTTGTATTTGTGATAGATGAACGATGCATATTTGTTCTTATCACATTACAATATTGATTACACAAATTTTCTCATTTTCTCGTTGGATTTTTTTATTTATATAATTAATACATATTTCATTTTTCAAACCGTTACCTTCAATTACGCACTCTCTTAGTTTCTTATTCAGTTTGTTCTTCACGTATCTGGTATCCAATTTCTACCCTTTTGACATGCCATCCGTTCGTTATTTTGGTAGGAGCCTTTTAATCTTGTACTCGTAAACACATTACTATAGCATTAATTAATTATAAAGAATCCGAGTTGTAATGCAGTAACCTTTAAATTAGAAATTTTTGAACATATTTTCAACCAATTTTCTAATCTCTAAAATCTGCACACATATTTCAAGCAATTTTGTTACATATTTCTTGGCAACGAAGAGGATCCTGTGAAAAGGTATTTGTGTAATGAAACAAACATTCGCTTCGGAGTTAAGTTCCATCATCATCAAGATTTTCGATAAAATCATTTAAAATGAATTCCATTTTTAGAGATGAACGCGTATTTCTCTAGTCAATAATAAATTTAAGATCGAACGAACAGTGCTCACATAAATTCGAATTAATAGTCAACATAAAAAGAATGAAAAAACGAGAGCAAGATATTATAAAAAGTTTGAGAGAAACCGGGCATAGTAAAGATGGCATGGAACAAAATCGAACGGATTTGGTAGGAGATGAAGCACTAGAATCGGTACAACAAAAGTCACGAATAAAAATCATGAGTCCAGTAGAATATTTGGAATATCTGGCAACAAAGGAAGAATTTTCACCTTCTGCCATAGCGAGTGCCTCACAATCAATAACAACGGAGCCCTCTCTTGATCCTTCCGCCACAACTTCATACTCGTCGTCCGAACCCGAACTCATAAAGATGCCAAAACCACAAAAACAATCGTTATCAAATGCTAGTCTTTCGCAATCCACAACATATTCTTTACCATTGTCACCTTTGGACGAGATGAAAAACCAGTTTGCGGATTTGCAAACTACGCCTTCATCACAATTCTCATGGACGACCACCGAGATGTCAGATGCTCATTCATCCGTCTCTTCCCGTTTTCCACAGCATCAGCATCCTCATCAACACGTTGATAATGAACGACGACAGCAGACGGACAAAACAAAATCGCCAGCTCCCTACACTGGTGAGCCTGAAATCTCAAATGATATTGGTTCGATATCAAATAAAGATGACATATCAATAAGCACTTCAAGTCCAATAATCCCTCCAGGGCTGTTATTAAACAAAAATCGGTCAAGGCATTCGACACCAAAGTTGGAATCTGTACCCAGTATACAAGTTGGATATACTGCGCAAATACAAAGGAGTGATTCCCCACTCAGGCAAGAATTTATAGGCTCGGAAGTTGGTAGTCAAAGCAACAGTTCGAATTATGAGTTTCGCCTGGACTATGATATTATACCTGGTACTGGTGAAAGTAACGAGAATAGCTCAAGTCAATACTACACCTCAAATTCTTCTATCAAGCCTGCTGTTCTCACATCAGCCTTCAGGCCTATCGGTTCTAATGACAACAGTGTCAAGTTAAATTCTCAACAGAACGCATATAGTATATACAATAGTGAGCAATCAACCTCAACTACTATTCAAAAATTACCCCAAAATTACCCGGGTAACCCTTTAACACCTTACACCTACATCGATAGACCTCAACAATTTTTCCCACAACAACCTAAAAATGATTTGATGTCGGTTGTGAGCGATTCCGTGACACGAGAGTCCATATACCAGACCGAGTTTCGGCTGGCATCCGGAGACCCTGATGATCCTTTATTGAACAATGGCAGTGAAGAGAATGATGGGGCCTATGAGGTAACTCTAGGGAGTGTGAATAACGAGGGAACAAACAGTAATAATGTGCAAAAGGATCGTGATATTGGTATCGTAAAAATTGATGTGGAAAATGAGGAAGGTTATGAGAACCTTGGGGAACATAGCATGGACAATACGAGGGCGGTTAAAGGTAAACTTGATCTGAAGATAACAAAGGAAATTACTTCGAGGGGAGTACAAATACAAACACATCATAATATTGATGTTGAGTCCAAACAAGAGGTCATCGCTCAAGGAACCAATGCATCACAAACAGTTCAACAACAGGATGATGCGATATCTCCCGTCTCACTTTTCACATCGAGCGTATCGGGAAAACCTTTTATCTCTTCCAAAGGTTCATTAGAAAATAAAGAAGAGAGAAAACCAAAACAAGGAACCTGGCTATTCGCCGGAGTTATCGGTGTTGCTATAATAATACTTATCTGTAAGTAAAAAAAAACAAACAAACCCGTTTTAAGATTCATTATTAGTTCTGAACGAAATCCCTTAAATACCCTATTGAGAAATAATAATTAATTCTCTATCAATGATAGTGTTTTTGATCTCGATATTTTCAAGTAATTCCGGACCTTTCAACTTTATTTCGGGTAAAGATATAATTACCATTAGGCCACCATCATCGACTGCTAGTCTCCCTCATTTAGATTGAGGAATTGACAACAGAGTGGCGAAACGCGTGACGTAATAATCAAAGAAGCGCTGCTGTGATATGAAAAGTTAGGGTTATGATTGGAGTTGGAAAGTTGTTCTTGAGGTATGTATTGAGGTATTATGGTCCTTGAAAAGTGTGTATAAACTTCAACTAACAAACTTCATCATTATTATTTATTTATCTGTTTTTTTTGCAAGTAGTTTTTGGATGGAAATGTATGACAATTTCACCAACATCTTCGTTCCTTTTTTTTATTTCAAGGACAAAAATATTTGCACATGTACTCATCTCGTTTAGTATTCTGTGAAGGATAATATTTTCCTCGATCATCATTTCTCAATGTAATATAGTCTATAAATAGTTGTGTATTAAGTAATCGTGTGTATATTAAAACAATTTAAAAATTCACGAGATCGTCTCGTCATAGATCAGAATCCAAATGAATGTCGTAGCGATTAAGCAAGTGTGCATTCTGTGTGTGTGCAATTGAAATTCTATCAATCGTTCTTAGTCCCAACCACACAGCTGGAACAGCGCACCTCTGATTATCTAAAATTGTATTGTTGTTCGCACGTATCCGTCCTTGTCCCAATCTTGAACGGGTGATCTTTTGTGGCGTGTATGCGTTTGTAATGGCCAAGTGGGCTACAAAATGTTTTCACGTGTTGTACGTGTTGTGCAATAAAATCGAAAAAGGAAATTAGATTAATTACACGAAAATTGAAGCACGTAGTACACAAAATTAATAACCCCAAATCAGAACAGCAGTGTGTAAATAAATGATTTAACTATAGCTAAAAGTAGTCAACTATAATCAATCAATGGCATAATTATGTTACATAACCAAGCCTCCCTCAAGCAATGCCCGGAGAAGAATTCCCCAGGCTCCATTTAGATCTCTATTAATCTGAAGTCCACACCCATCACACCTAAATACTTTATTTCCACCCAAATTCCTCTTAATATATCCGCAACGACTGTATGTTTTACTTGCACAGTGGCGATCATAATTAGTGCAACAAAAAAATGAAATCAGTCAAATGCAAGTAATTACGCAAATTCGAGGTTATTATTATTATTGTTACAAGTCAGATTTTTTGTAAACTGGAATTTTATTCGAATTGACTTGTTGCATTAATTTTGATTTTTTTAACATCTTTCAAATACATATATAAAATTTAATCTTTTTTATATACAGTAACATACTTTTTTGAAATTATTTATTTATTTATTATTTAAAAACTACTGCATAGAAATTAATAAAAAATATATTAAAATGAAATTGAAAATCTAAAGATTTTTTTTTTCTTTAATTAAATTGCTAGGTATACATTTATTAATTTATTTATAAACAACAATAATATAATATACAATAAGATATTATATTAAACTAAACTATTTTTTATTAGCAGAATACTTGTAACAGGTTATTTATAAATTTATATATAACCCTTGAATCTTTAATACTAAAATTGTCATGTTACTTATATAATCTAACTATTTATAAACTATTTTACTATAAGAAAATAAGCCCATTAAATTATTATTGTATAATATTAACTATTTTAAACTTTCTAAATATAATTATAAAAAACAATAAGAACTCTGAAAAGTATTGAACTAGAATCAAAATGGTATCAATTTATAATAAATTTAATATATGGGTTATGATCTACTCATATAAGTTTATAATAAATATAAATATCAAACTGGTATTGAAATGGTATTGAAGTAATATTGTTAGAAGCTCTAAAAAAAAAAAAATTATTTTTTCTCAAAACCAGATGACAAAATCTTAATTTTGAAAAATCAAAATCAATTTATATTCAAATTGTTATTTCAATATGATTTTATGATTTTAAAAAAGAAAAAAAAGTTTATATTAATAAATAAAATTCTTTTAAACTAATTTTTAATTTAATTACTTATAGCTAAAAAATTTATTAAATTTTTATTATTTTATTATAAATTAAAAATATTTAAAATATATTAATAACAAAATTTATTTTTTAAATAAACTTATATAACTTGTTTATTATTATAAAACATATAACTTAAAGGATTTTTAAAATAAATAATAATAGAAAAAGTTTTTTATTAAATTAAAACAAGATCTTTTTTTAATTTTAAAAAAACTCAAAATTAATACAAGATTGTCAATTTGCAAAAAAAATAAAAAAAAATATTGAAATATTAAAACTTTTGTTATATATAGTTTTTAAATATATATTTTAAATATTTTAATCAAATATTAATATTATACAAGCATATATAACTTAATAAATTTAATCATATAATTTTTGTTAAATATTGTAATTATAAGAACTTATATAGGATATTAATTATATGTTCTTTTAATCTAATAAGTTGTTATATTATTATTATTATTTTTTTATAGTGGAATATACACAAGGTGTGTGATCTTTATTGATACATTTATATATCCAGACAGATACCAAGTGTCTCTACAAATTAACCGGAAATCGGTTGGTATATGGATACCTATTATGTCTCTACAAATTAATCTGCAGATTAACATTGCCTAATGCCTATATTACTATAAGATTAGTTACACCAACCACTATTACCCAACTTATACATTCATTTAAATACTATGAAGATATACCCACACGTCAGGTGGAACTTCCACAGGGAGAGAATCCTACTACTAGTTTAAACCCACCTAAACCTATTGGTTTATTATTGCAGAAAACAAGTTATTATGAAATATTATTATAGAGACTAACCCCAGTATTCCAGTCACTGTTATTACTAATCCTCGGGATAAAAATGGGTCCCTAAATTAAAGGCGAGGACATAATTCAAATGTCCCTCACTATTAAAAAGATTTTTTTTTTAATATAAGGTCAAAAAAAAACTACTTACAAAGGTTTTTTGCAATTTAAGCCACTTAATCCAAGTGTTTTTTGAATTATATCCCTATTAAAGTAATAAATAAATAATTATGTCTTTTCAAAAAAGACATAATTGATCTGCGAAATTTTGTATGCTAAATAGTTTAGGAACCCATCCTTACCTCGGGATGTGCCACTAGCATATTGTCGCACTACTGTTTTTATCACCTGTGAAACTGGCGTTCTTGCTTGGATTCCAATTTAATCTTGACAATCCTCACCAGACTCACTTGGTCTTAACGATTTTTACCTAGATTGTTACCTCCTATAGCCGATAACCTTTTACCTTTTTGGTCTATTTAAGTTCATATAAACACCCCTCTAGGGATAGATCCTTAAGCTCCAGATTGGGATAGATCAGTTTAGGGTTAACCTCTTTAGGTTGTGTGACAGAGTCTGCCGTCATCAGTTTTGGGTTAAGATTTTTGTAAACTTTTATCAGAATTAAACCAGAAGCCTTTCCTTGTGCAACCTTCTGTGCTTTGACCTGTTTTCAGCTCGCGATTGTCAGGAAGACCTGAGGTTCCATCTTTATGCAGCCTAACTGAATTTGGATATAATAAGAATTATTGGGTACGACATATACAGGATATTCAGTAAACCTACATATGAAAATAAATGCACTTTTTTGCCTCCTGTGAATATTGAACTAGGGACATGTGTTTGATGTAAAGATGGGTCCCTAAACCATGTGATGCTAAATGACATCTGGTTTAGGTTATATGTAAATCAATTTAGGTTATAAAATTTTAATAATCAAAACAGGTGACAAATAGTTATCACCTGTTTAAGGACCTATCTTTAGTTTGGTGACCTGGGAGCACTACTCACTATGCTATTGACCCACAGGTCTAAGTTGTTATATTATTTTTATTTTGTTATAATAATTATATTTAGATATTATAGTAATATAAATAGTAAAGATTTTTTGTTAAAGATAAATTAATTTCAGTTTTTTGTTAAAATTTTTAAATAAAATATTTTTTTTTCCATACACTAACTGGAGCCGTGCTCGGTATACTTTATTGTTCAAGAGATTTTACAAGTTAATTACATATATTGAATACATGCTAACTGCCTATAATATCTAACATATCTATATATCAAACTACATCGAGATTTTACCCCCATGCCGGCTTTGAGTTATTGGTTTAT